GGAGCTTTGCCTAATCAGGAAGGGTCAGGAAACCCAAAGCCAACAGGATCGCCAGAAGGAGGTTGCTTCTGCTGCTCCTAACACAATCTGTAAGGGAATGGTTGGCTCCAGCTGGTGGGAGCTTTCCCTGGAATGTGGAGTATTTCAGTGGCTTTACTTTTGGACCAGAGCAGGGTTTAGGATATTGAAATATGACTCCTGTTACATATGTAACATAATCCACAGTGGTATGCTAGTATACATCCTAGGCCCTAATTAAGACATATTTCTGGCACCCTTCTCATATGCAATTTATAAAATAAAACCCTACCCATCAATATGAAAAATGAAGAAATGCATCACATTCTCATTTTTCCCATGACACTAGTCTATAAAACGTTAATAACTTCAACTTTGATCTTTCCAAATGTCAAATTTCAAAGTCTTTAAAAATATGTTGGTTCTCCTACATTCCCGGTGCCCCAAGTGCATGTTTATTCTGTTGGGGAACCCAGCACTACTGCATAGTCTTACTGAGATGGTTAGATGTGTAAATAAATATGAAAGTACTCTTTGTGATCTACAAATACATGCTAGGATCATGTTGACATGATTGGACAGGAGATTTTTCTCTTTTTTAAAAAGCGTTGTTTATTTGAACAGCAGAGCTGGTGGTGGGGAAGAGAGAGCATCATTGATGGGCAATGTTTCTGAGAGGGTATTCTCTGCAGGAATGGTGGTCTCTGCCTAGTGCTATGTGTGGTTTTCTGGGACAGAAATATTTGAGGAAGCTCTCAAATATTAGCTATTATATATGCCTGTATTAACTACATAAAAATAGGGGGAGTTTCTTACTTTTCTGTATTTTAAATATTCTAATAGAAATGGAGTAGAAAAATTGGCGTTTATATATAAAGCTGATTTTAAAATGTTTACCTTAAAGATATACCCTGGGGTAGGGTGTTAGAGAGATGTGAGAAGTATCTTGATGTAACCATACACTGCACCAGTCATTAACTCAGAGTAGGTCAGTTAGGTACCCAGGCAGGGCAGACAAGCAGAAACAGACGAGAATATATGAGGCCATGCATCCCTAGTGCCAGGATCGCAAAGCTGGAAGCTCATTATGAAGTAACATGTTTGTGTACCTCTTTCCTCCTTCCCTATGTTACACTTGTTTTCTTTCTGCACCTTCTCTGTCCAGCACACCTGTGAAAGGCTGCATGTTTGCACACCAATATTGAAGGGAGAAGTTTGCCCTAATGATTGTGTTCAAATGGCTTTTCAATATTTCATTTATTACTTCAGCCTCATCACTCTCCCATCTTCTGATCATGCACAGCCCTTATTAACTTTATTGGCTTACTTAAATTGATTTAGTTGAATTTTCTGGAACCAGAGGCAGACCATTTGTATACTTATGTCCTTACATTCTTCCTATTTTTATCTTTCCTTATTAAGTTTTCATTCTAAATTCATCAAAGATACTAAATATTAGCATCCTTGATCTTGCCAGCAAATATTTGCCAGTTTGTAATTTATTATTTGCTATCAACAGCCAAATTTAAACAAGGCTAATCTGGCTCTAATTTTGTTTATATAAGCGTTAGTCTTGATATTTAGAGAAAGCAAATGTTAATTTCTGATTCTCTTCAATATGCATAATTCCCTCACCTCTCAGGTACTGTAGATATTTTTTTAAAATGAAGACAGCTTGGGGGCAGGTGTTGTGGTGTCAAAGATTAAGCCACTGCTTGGGATGCCTACATCCCATATCAAAGTGTCTGGGTTTGAGTCCCACATCTTCTTCTGATCCTGCTTCCAGGCAATGCATACTCTGGGAGGCAGTAGGTGATGGCTCAAGTACTTGGGTACCTGCCCCCTACATTGGAGATCTGAATTGAGTTCTGGGATCCTGGCTTTGGTATGGCCCAGTCTTGGCTTTTGGAAATGTTTGTGGAATAACCAGAGAATGGAAGATCCTTCTCTCTCTCTCTCAATCTGTCTCTCCTTCCCTCCTTCCCCCTCTCCCTCTCTTTCTAGCTGATACCTCCCTCCCACCCTTCCCCCTCTCTCCTGTCCTCCCTCTCCCTCTCTCCCTACCTCTATCCCTCCCCCTCTCCCTTTCTTTTTCTCTCTCTCTGACTCTCTCCCCCTCTCTGGAGTTTTGCCTTTCAAATACATAAAATAAATAAATAATATTTAAGACCCAATTTGGTGATGGCACCGCGGCTCACTAGGCTAATCCTCTGCCTGCGGCGCCAGCACCCTGGGTTCTAGTTCTGGTTGGGGCACCGGATTCTGTCCCGGTTGCTCCTCTTCCAGGCCAGCTCTGCTGTGGCCCAGGAAGGCAGCAGAGGATGGCCCAAGTCCCTGGACCCTGCACCTGCATGGGAGACCAGGAAGAAGCACCTGGCTACTGGCTTTGGATTGGCGCAATGCGCTGGCCGTAGCGACCATTTGTTGGGGGTGAACCAACTGAAGGAAGACCTTTCTCTCTGTCTCTCTCACTAACTCTGCCTGTCAAAAAAAAAAATAAATAAATAAAACCAATTTGGGGGCAGTAGGAAGCACATTTGGACTGCATTTTATGAACAGGAAGTATTTTGGCAAGAACACTCTGAACATATATAGAGAAGAGCAGGGGTCTGCTTGAGACCTTTCCCCTCCTCACTGCCTCTGCTCCAGAATGGAACGGGCTCCTTGCAGGCATGCTGCAGGCACCCTACAGCTGCAGGCACCTGAGTGGCTACAGCTGTCTGTACAGGGGCTCCTGGGGTGACTGCCTATTACAGGCTGAATTAGTAGCTGGCAGGAAAAAGAACGTCTAGTTTTATGTGTGTGTGATTGGACTTCCCAATGTTGTGCACATGTGTTTGCTGAGTGTGGGGACAGAATTTCTGACCAGTGGCCAGGATGGACAGGGGGGGCATGCTGTGGTGGCAGCTGAGCATGTTGTGAGAGGTTTTTCTCAAGTTCTAATTCACTTTCTCAGTCAGAGGCTACATGCAGATTCTGGTTCCTCAAGCCGTAGTCTGTAAAAGCACATGTCCTTACTCCTCTTCTACAGGACCCACTGCAGTGCGAGCTACATTCCTTGCTCTTGGCTGCTGGGTGCATTTGTTTCTCATTTTTTCATCAGGGAACCTGCAGATCATGCCTGGCCAACTAGTCTCCGCTCAAGTTGTGCCCCTTTCAGGAAGCTCCCCCTGACTACTTCAGTCCAGGATAATTTCTCAATATTTCCAAAAAGTCATCAGCACACTACTACTTGTGGGTCAAACCAAGAGTTTTATTAGAACATAACATAGCTCTATTTGTTTACATATTGTCTACGGATGTTTTTGAGACAGAGTGGCAGACCTGAACAGTTGTGACAGAGACCATATGACCCACAGGCATAAAATATTTCCTTTATAGTCCTGTACAGAAGAAGTTTGCTGACCCCTGTCCTACACTGGGAGGGCTTAATGTATGTACCTTTCAGCTTGACCTGCATTAATGCTCCTTATTTTGTGGCTTGCAAAACTCTCACTTTAAATTCACCATAGTCTTTTAGTGTTTCCCAGACATGTTGGGCAGTGAACAAATAATCTCAAATGATCTCAGAATGACACTCAGAGGTTGGGCTGAGTTTGGGCAAGGCAATTTTCTTTTTGAAACTACATATTTATTTTTATGTATAATTTCAATTATATATATTTATGTATGTATATATGTATATGAAATATATATATATATATATTTGACCAGCAGAGTGATAGTTGGGGGTGGGGGGGGCAAATTTTCAATTTGCTGGTTCACTCCCCAGATGGTCACAATGACCAGGGCTGGGCCAGGCTGAAGCCAGGAACCTGGAACTCCATCAGGGTCTCCCACATGGGTTGCAGAGGTCCAAGTACTTGGGCCATCTTTTGTTGGTTCCCAGGCACATTAGCAGGGAGCTGGATTGGAACTGAAGCAGCCAGGACTTGAATCAATACTCCAGGATGGGATGCTGGAGTCATAGGTGGCAGCTTAACCTGCTGTGTCAAAATGCTGGCCTCAGCAATTTTATTTTCAAGAGACAATGTTCATTGATTACTAGTGTCAGACAATTGCAGAAAAGGCTCTTGGATCAGTTTTGCACCTGACTCATTCTCTTTGAACCCAGAACTCTTGTTACTTAAGGAACATTAATCTTATCAAAGTTCTATAAGACTATATGAAAATGGACCTTAATAAAAAAGGTATGTGAAAGTCCAAATACACACACACACATACATACACACAGGTTAGCATTGGCTTTAAAACAAAATCATGCCGGGGGCCAGTGCTGTGGCTTGCTTCGTTAATCCTCCATATGAGATGCCAGGTTCTAGTCCCGGTTGCTCCTCTTCCAGTCCAGCTCTCTGCTGTGGCCCAGGAGGGCAGTGGAGGATGGCCCAAGTGCATGGGCCCCTGCACCCACAAGGGAGACCAGGAGGAAGCACCTGGCTCCTGGCTTCAGATTGGTGTAGCTCCAGCCATAGCGGCCATTTGCAGAGTGAACCAATGGAAGGAAAACCTTTCTCTCTGTCTAACTCTATCTGTCAAATAAAAAAAAAATCATGCGGAACAGGGTCTTTTTTTAAAAAAATATTTATTTATTTGAAAGAGTTACACACAGAGAGAGGAGAGCCAGAGAGAGAGAGAGAGAGAGATCTTCCATCTGCTGGCTTACTCCCCAGTTGGCTGCAATGACTGGAGCTACACCGATACGAAGCCAGGAGCTTCTTCCAGGTCTCCACATGGGTGCAGGGGCCCAAGAGCTGGATCAGAAGTGGAGCAGCTGTGGCTTCAGCTGGTGCCCATATGGGTTGCCAGCACTGCAGGCAGTGGCTTTACCTGCTACACCACAGCGCCGGCCCCAGCAGGATCTTTTTAGATACTCAGGTATTCCACTTTATGAGAACCTGACTCGCCATAGGTGTTAGGAACAGAACACAGTGAACTCAATGACCCCCAGCTGGATTCCTTTGCGTTTCTTCTCTCCTATCTAGTGGTCAGCCCATTCCCAGGGTGGAGTACACTGAAGAAGAAACCAGAACTTGGGGCATTGTCTTCCGAGAGCTCTCCAAACTCTACCCCACTCATGCTTGCCGGGAGTATTTGAAAAACTTCCCTCTGCTGAGTAAATACTGTGGCTACCGGGAGGACAATGTGCCTCAGCTTGAAGACGTCTCTACGTTTCTGAAAGGTAAGGCTTCACGCGAGCCGCCTCTTCCCAGCTGGTACCTCATTTGCCTTCCAAGGACATACATTGCGGCCATGGCCCGCTTTCCCAAAATGGAAAAATAGTGAATTAAAAAGAAGAGCATTGAACCAGTAGTTACCTGTGGGCACCTGCAGGAAGCACAGCCGGACTTTGGGGCAGCAGAGATGGGTTCCGGGGTTGACCCAGTTCCGGGCTTGCTGAGGCCCCTCTGGCCAGCTGTGATAAATGGTGAGCCCCAGAGGACATTTGAAAGTTCAGCTTTGAGCTTCTCTTGATCCAGAAACTCCTCTGTTGGGTTACAGAGTAAGCAGTGGCCTCCAAGGTGCTTTTATACATTTTTTGTTGTTAACAGTTATTTACTGGATGCCGGCGCCACGGCTCACTAGGCTAATCCTCTGCCTTGCGGCGCCGGCACACCGGGTTCTAGTCCCAGTCGGGGCGCCGGATTCTGTCCAGGTTGCCCCTCTTCCAGGCCAGCTCTCTGCTGTGGCCAGGGAGTGCAGTGGAGGATGGCCCAAGTGCTTGGGCCCTGCACCCCATGGGAGACCAGGAGAAGCACCTGGCTCCTGGCTCCTGCCATCGGATCAGCGAGGTGCGCCAGCCACAGCACGCCGGCCGTGGCGGCCATTGGAGGGTGAACCAACGGCAAAGGAAGACCTTTCTCTCTGTCTCTCTCTCTCACTGTCCACTCTGCCTGTCAAAAAAATAAAAAAAAGTTATTTACTGGATGAAGAAATATCACAGATAATGTTGAACGTTAGTGTCTTTCCTTTGGGGGCAAATCTATCAATCAGTCAATCCATCTGTTTAAGTCTACACTGTGTGCCAGGAACTGTACTCATTGCTGACGTTACCGTGGTGCACAGAGTGGTTCATAGAGGATGCTCATTTCAGTCTCTGGGTGTCACTCTCTGGCCTTCCTGGAACAATAGCTGGGAACACTGAGGGCTCTTGTGACGGGTCGGGTGGAGGCAGTGTCACGTGGTCCTGTTCTCTCTGCTCTTCCTTGTGCTTGGGTCCGTGGGCTCTCTTCTCTTTTCTGTCTTCTGTCCCCTTCCAAGGACAGCAGTTCGAAAAGCAGAAGCCACATTCCCTCCTTCCTTTCCTGGAACTCACTTTGTGACTTGGGTGCCCAATTTGTTCAGTGAAACTTTGTCTCCCTAGGCTGGCCCCTAAGGGCCCCTTTGAATTCATACCTCCGTACTTAACCACTCTTTGTATTGGTGTCTTATTTCCGTTCTAACCAATCACCGCTAATTTTGTGACTTAACACCAATTACTGTCCTACAGTTCTGGAGCTCGGAGTCTAAGATCTGGGGTGGGCAGGACTACGTTCCTTGTGGCGCTGCTGTTGCCTTGCTGCTTCCAGCTTCCAGGATCCCCTGCACCTCCCAGCTCCAGGTGTCTCCCTTGCATCCACAACCTCTTGCTTCATTGTTGTATCTCCTTCTCTGACTGGGACTCCTGCCTTCTTTTAAAAAATTATTTTTAAATTTTCAGTTTATTTAAAAGGCAGAGAAACAGATAGATGTTCCTTCATTGCTGGTTCACTCCTTAGATGTCATCCATTTCACGAGGTGATTGAGAGGGAAATGAACTGATAGACCTTAAAGCCCTAATGTGCCTGACACATGCTAAACCTAGCAGCATCTTAACTATTATTTTTGTTGTTTTCCATGGCCCTTTGTGACTTGGGGGTGGAGCCTGGTTGGCATCACTCATTAGCACATGGAAACCAGTGGAAGTGTGTTTGTGTCCTTATTTCTTTCAATGGACTCACTTTAAAAATACTCTATTTATTTAAAAAGGAAATGTAAAAAGTGGTATCTACAAATTCAAAGTTCTTGAAATAATAGTTTTGTATTTTTTCTAATTTACATAAAATAAAATTCACACCTATTAAACTAAAAGAAAAGTCTATCGGCTGACACTCGTGTTCCACCTGTGGGATAGAGTGGCTTAACTGTAACAAGAAAAACTAGAAACTATGTTTTTGTTTTTACTATTCAGTGGGGAGCCATCCAAAGCAAAGGCTTTTATTTATTTATTTTTTTAAGGGGCAACATTTATTCCTTTTCCAAAGGTTACAGTAAAGCCAGGTGGAAGAGAATGATTTTAGCAATTAGAAAAACAAAAAAAAAGTACAAATCTGGAGTTTGGCCATTGCAAGTCATTTGCAACAGTGGGAGAAAAAGACAATAATTTCTTTCACACTACAGACCTCTTAACCACCCCACAGACAGACACAGTTGATTGACAAGTGCCACAGGGTGTCAGGTTATCCTGAAAGAAGAACAAGGAACAGCATCCTGTAGTTAAGGAAGCAGACTCAGACTAGAAATTTTAATGTGGGGAAACCAGAGGACACTGTCTCCTGCCAAAGGTGGAGGCAGAAGCAGAGGCCCAGGTGTCTGGTTACTCCAAGTATTTGTTATCAACATGATGTGTTCGATTAATTATAAAAAATGCAGTTTTCTGAAAACAGGATTTCACGATGAAAGAGTTTAGACATAGTAGAACAGGGAACAATGGGGAATTTTGACCTTCACAGTAAAGATGTGTTTGCTTGGAAGCTGGGATTAAGAGGACGATCACAACGAGGAACCTTGAGGGGGACTAATGACTGATGGGGGCGACCGTCCCACTTGCTGTTTACCGGTGCCCACAGCATTTCCTTAGTGCTTCAGCGCCCTGTCAAATGACCTTTAACCGCTCACCTTTGCAATTGGCCAAGCACACCTGCAGCAGAATTCAGGCCATGCGGTGGATCTGAAATCTAGGCCTTTACCAGAATTCAGGGAATGTGGGGGTCTCTGACAACAAGCCTGAGTTTTGAACTTGAGTAAGACATTTATACAAACCCAGACGGGGGCAAGGTCCTCCCCAGCCCAGGTGACACAAGGCACAGCACAGGGGACTAAAAACTCAACAGGGAGAAGGCAGGACACTTGGGGTTTGGGAGTAAAAGTAATATTGGTAACATATCCATTAAAGGTCCCATCTGTTATTAACGGTGCCATCTGGGATGCCAATTATGTTACTGGGTGCTTATTAATAAATTAGAAATATTAATAAGCTGTGTGGGCTCTCGCCTCATATTAAAAGAATTCTGAATACTGGCATGAATAAGTGAGGCAGCAAGGTAAGTTTTAAGCTTATTCAGTGAGAGAAATGCATGGGAGAGTGAGGGCTGTACGAAAGGGAAATCTGGATTCAGACCGAGTGCCAGGAGCCAGCCACGTGGAGGAGCATGCAGGCTGGGTGGTCCGGAGGCCGTGCACCCCACCCCGGAGGAAGAAGGGCAAAGAGAAAAGGGCACAAGGGCTGGGCCCTCTGTGTTTCAGGCCTTAAATCCACTTCCAAACGGGAGTGGTTAATGAGCCTGACTGGCAGCTGGGCGCACAGGTGTGGCCAGATAGGGGGACGAGATCTCACAGGGGCATGGTGATGGTGTGGTCTTCCAGCTCACAAACCTCATCAATTTTATCCTTTCTGCCTGCCTACATCATAAGCACCCCACTTCTGGCTTGGGAATTTGGAGAGTAAACAAAAACTTAGTTGGAAAAGAATTGAGGGAGAAAATCGGCAATTGTCTTCCGCAAAGGACGTGAGGTCAAGGAAGGGGGCAGGGCCAGGAGCTTTTCACATCACTGACCTAACCTGGGGAAGTGCAAGGGACCATCTTCAACTGGCCTCATCCACGGAAGGGAGGGGCTGGGCACAGGGTCCAGGCAGTGACCCCACAAGGACAGCACAGTTTTCTTATTTATTTATTTAAGAGGTAGACTTCAGATAGAGGGAAAGACGGAGAGAGTGGTCTTCCATCTGCTGGTTCACTCCACAAGTGGTGCAATGGCCTGTCCTGTCGAAACCAGGAGCCAGGAGCTTCTTCATGTTCTCTCCTGTGGGATGTACAATTTGGGACATGCTCAATCGGACTTACCCCAAATGGTAGAGTTAGAAACATACCAGGGGATTCCAATTCAATCCCATCAAGGTGGCATGTACTAATGCCATCTCACTAGTCCAAGTGATCAATTGCTGTTCACAATTGATCATAATGATAGGACTAAGAACCAAAGGGATCACATAAACAAGACTAGTGTCTGAAAATACTAACCGATAGAATAAAAAAATGGGAGAGAGCGATCCAACATGGGAAGCGAGATACACAGCAGACTCAGAATGGCAGATGTCCTAAACAGCACTCTGGCCTCAGAATCAGCCCTTAAGGCATGCGGATCCAGCTGAAATGCCCATGAGAGTATTTCAGGCATGGAAAGCCAAGACACTCTGGAAAAAAACAAAAAAACAAAAACAAAAACAACAAAAAACAAACCTAAATGAAAGATCTCTGTGAGTGAGATCCCAGTGGAAAGAACAGGTCATCAAAGAAGGAGGTACCTTTCTCTGAAGGGAGGAGAGAACTTCCACTTTGACAATGACCTTGTCTAAATATGATCAGAGTTGGCGAACTCAAAAGGCTTCCATAGCCTTGGCAACTCATGACAAGAGCGTAGGGTGATTACTGATGCCATAAACAAGAGTGTCAATTTGTTAAGTCAGCAACAGGAGTCACTGTGCACTTACTCCTCATGTAGGATCTCTGTCCTTAATGTGCTGTACATTATGGTTTAATGCTATAACTAGTACTCAAACAGTATTTTACACTTTGTGTTTCTGTGTGGATGCAAACTGTTGAAATCTTTACTTAATATATACTAAACTGATCTTCTGTATATAAAGAGAATTGAAAATGAATCTTGATGTGAATGGAAGGGGAGAGGGAGTGAGAAAGGGGAGGGTTGCAGGTGGGAGGGAAGTTATGGGTGGGGGGAAGCCACTGTAATCTAAAAGTTGTACTTTGGAAATTTATATTCATTAAATAAAAGTTAAAAAAGAAAAAAAATCATATTGCATACCTCAGATATATACAATTTTTATATATATTTTAAAGATTTATTTTTTATTTATTTTAAAGTCAGAGTCACAGAGACAGAGGGAGAGAGAGAGATCAAGATCTTTCGTTTGCTGGTTAACTCCCCAAATGGATGCATTGGCTGGGCCTGGGCCTGGTTGAAGCCAGGAGCCAGGAACTTCTTCTGGGTCTCCCACATGGGTATAGAGGCCCAAGCACTTGGGCCATCTTCCATGACTTTCCCAAGTGCATTAGCAGGGAGCTGGATCAGAAGTGGAGCTGCCAGGATGCAAACTGGTGTCTATGTGGGATGCCAGCATCTCTGGTGGTGGCTTAACACACTATGGCACAATGCCAGCTTCCACATTTTTATTTTAAAAAATAGAAATACCGGCCAGCGCCGGTATTAGCTCAATAGGCTAATCCTCTGCCTGCAGTGCTGGCACACCAGGTTCTAGTCCCGGTTGTGGCGCCGGATTCTGTCCTGGTTGCTCCTCTTCCAGTCCAGCTCTCTGCTGTGGCCTGGGAGTGCAGTGGAGGATGGCCCAAGTGCTTGGGCCCTGTACCCGCATGGGAGACCAGGAGGAAGCACCTGGCTCCTGCCATCGGATCAGTGCGGTGCACCAGCCGCGGCGGCCATTGGAGGGTGAACCAACAGCAAAGGAAGACCTTTCTCTCTCTCTATCTCTTACTGTCTACTCTGCCTGTCAAAAAAAAAAAAAAAAAAAAAAAAAGAAATGCCAGTGAGAGAAGGGGACAGAATATAGGGCAGGCACATCAAAACACGTAACAGTTTTATAAAATGTGTCCTTAAAAATAAAATGAATAGCCCTCCCATTGTAGATTTTTCTGGGTCTTCATGAGAAGGAAGCTTTAGGTAGCCCTTAAACTAAGGACACTGATTACCCACAGCCTAACTGACTACATGGTATAGGGCAATGACATAGATTTTATTATCTCTAAGCATAAACCAACAGAGCATATAGTGCTTTAGTGGACCTTTTCAAATCGCAACAGTTAATGTAATGCCAGAGTAAACAACAACAAAGAATGAGGAATTGGGTGGTACTGCTAGCAGAATTCTGTAGGGTAAACTGACTTCAAGATGCCAATGGATGGGGTGTTTGCTGTGTGGTACCCATGCAGAAGATCCCTAGGTGTGTGTTTCAGAATGATGCCAGATAACCTGTGGTAAGCATCACCTTGGAGTGTACTTTTCCTTTGTGTATTTGAGATTTCTTATTCTAATTTAACTTCCGAATTTAAAACCCTTAATATTTTCACTTTTCATTCTGTTTTAATGAGTGTCTGTTCCCCTAGAAACTGTCATTTGTGAGGGCATTTTTGTCAACAGAATCCCAGACTTGATAGCTGTTGAAAGTATATATGTCATTCGGTTGTTACCTTGACTACTTTCATTTCTGGTATATCCTTATTAATAACAGGATTTCCTTCTAGGACCCTAAGGTGCTGTGGGGTTGTCATTTAACTGCCTTTTTCTGTTGCCTCTTTAGAAAGGTCTGGCTTCACTGTGAGGCCGGTGGCCGGATACCTGAGCCCGCGCGACTTTCTCGCAGGACTGGCCTACAGAGTGTTCCACTGTACTCAGTATGTCCGGCATGGCTCGGACCCCCTCTACACCCCGGAACCGTGAGTACCTATCCCCAAAGCCCAGGCTGGGACTGAAACTGCTGCTCTGCGGAGTGGTCAGTGCTCACTTGACTTGACTTGGGTCTTCTTTGACCTCTGCCCAGGTTTGGTCATACTAGCTGGTTAGAGTCTCCGTATGTGCTTACGGCAGGAGATGCACATGGGGCTGCCAACAGTGAGGCTCTGGCTCTCTGTGATTCTGTCCCCACATGAACCCGCTACATGGCCTGACCTCCATTCCTGACAAGGAAGGAAGGCAGAGAGGGGTAATGTGAACTTAGATACCCAGCCAGGACACAGTGTGGCTGTCATGTTCAGGAGGTTCATGCACACGCACCCCAGCAACTCAGACTTAATTCCCTTATGTTCATCTGTGTTCATTACATCCAAACTCAGAACTCTGTGTGTACTCTCCCTGCCATCTTAGTTTCTGGAACATTCTTCCAATCTTACCTAACACTTCCAGGTATGTAAGAATTTGGTGATTCTTCTTGGGCCTTTTGTCCTCCTTTGGGGCTTTTATACATTCTCTCCTGGGTGCTGGGAGGGCTAAGGGTGAGCAGAGAAGCAGAATGGTGATGTTCTTTTGCTCTACCATGAGTGGGGAACGGGGAAAAACTGTGAGTCCCATGTGTTAAGTCATTTGGTCTCATCATACATGGGGTTTCACAGTCTATAGATGTGGAATGCTTTTGTATGCTGTTTATTTTAAAATGTAACATGTATTGGGAGCCTACTATGTGCTTACATTGCTTGGGAGCAATGTAAGCAATGCAATTACTGGATAAATGAGGGAGACAGCGGGAGCATACAGAAAAATGGGTAATATGGAGTCAGTCAAGTCTAAGTGTCAACACTAAGTGCTAAAAAGTGCTGTGCAGCCTAATAGAGCAGGGGTGGTAATGGGAGGGTGGTCCTGGGCACTGTGTTTTGGGTTGGGTTGTCAGATCAGCCTCTTGGGAAGTGATGTGAATGTCTCCAGGTGGAAAACTCTAAGCTAAGGGAACAGAGAAAGTACAGACCCTGAGGCTGGAGCTGTCGTGGTTTTTCTGCCCCCTTGGGCTCCATTCGATCGTGCACCTCATCCTAATTGTACCCTGATTTGTTGCTCATTGTTCTTCGGGCCACTCAGGTTATCACTTTGCTTATGATGCTGCTTTACTTGGATAGGCTTGTGATTAATGGGCTGCCAGGGTCTTCACTGGGGAGTAGAAAGCCCTTCAAGGTTCAAGCAGTTAAGTAGCTGATGGTGGCAGCAGTGGGCAGGGATTAGAGCTGGGCCTCTGAAGTCCCTCTTTTCCTCCTAGGCTGTGTAAGGCTCACCGGTCAGGTCGGTCTCTGCAGGGTTGCTACATTGTTTTTGCTCCTTTCAGCTTCTCTGAAGTGTTTTCAGGGTACACAAAGGTTACTTATATGGCTCAAGACATTTGGGAAAGAAATGCTTCTTCAAGTGGAGTGAGTGCTCAGGGTAGGGTTGTGCGAATTAGAAAGGCAATCTCAAAATCGAGCCCAGAGGGTTTACAAATGGCCCTGTTTACAAATAGCAGGCATTTTGTTAGCTCCCTTTGAATAACTGGCCCTCCTGAGACCTGGGATAGCGTGCCAATAGGTATGCAGAGAGAGAGAGAGGGGGCAAAGAAATGAGATTTTAGCCACAGAGGTCTATAAAATTTGGGGATAATGTGTTGCATTTTTTCCAAAGTACTTTCAGTAAATTCATTCAGCAAACATTTATGTGCAATGCTAGCAGGGAGGTGCAGTGGATTCAAAGATGAATAAAATATAGTAGCTATTTTTTTTAAAGCAGCTCAGATTCTGGCAAGGGAGATAGAAATATAAATAATTAGGAAGGAGTGTGGTGTGGGCTGTAATCGAGGTGTGTACAAAGTGTTGAAGGAGCACAGAGGAAGTAGCAGTCCTGAGAGTGTTTTTAGAGAAGATAGAAACTTAGTGGGAGTCTTAGCAGGGTGAAGAGGGAAAGCCTTGGCAGCCGAGGAAGGAGCAAGCACAAAGTTGTGGAAGAATGCAAGAGGCATCCATGAGCAAGGCTTGTTACACCAGAGCTTCAGGGTGCAGTTTATGTAGTAGGGATACAGTGTGTCTTCCAGCCACATTATAAATGGTCACCTGTCAAAGCAGGCCCTGTAGGTTAAATTTTGTAGGCAATCGAGAGCTATTCAAGGTTCTGAAGCATGATTAGATAAGTGTTTTTGAGAAAGATGACTGGGCCTGGGGGCTAGGGAAATGTGAGTGCATAGAAGGAAAACCATTCATAGAGTTCACATTTCAGTAAAGGAATGCAGTTTATAAGTGTGGGGAGCAACCCGGACTAGACTGTTACTGGAATTAAGACTTATTCTATGCATCTGCTCTCCCACAATATGGCGCTGGGAGAGGAGAAAACAGTTTCTACACAGCTGCCTCCAGTTCAGCCAATAAACTGTAGGACTTGCTCCTGATTGGAGGAGAGCAGCGTGCTCGGCGTGTGGGCAGCCGAGTTGGGATTGGCAGAGGAGGACTATAAAGGAGGAGAGAGACGGCATGCACCAGGGAACATCTAAGGGGAACACCTGTGCAGCCCCCGAGAGAGCCGGCCGGTGGTGTGCCGCTCCCCTGCGGAAGTGGGGAAAGTGGCCAGGGGGAACCGCCCTTCCATGGAGGTGGAAGGGCCCTTCCACGGAGGTGGAAGGGACAGTAGCCAACCCGGGAAGAACCAGCAGCAAACCCGGGGAGGGCCGAGCAGACGAAAGAACAGCGCAGGGTCCTGTGTCGTTCCTCCACGAAGAGGGGGAGCGACAATAAGATGCTGAGCCATTGAGTGAGGTGTAGTAGAGTGCAAGAACACCCATTTTATGCTAATATCATAGAGATGGAACTGACAATGCTCCTGTTTGATGACTATGATATGAGTGAGGAGAGGATAGGAATCCTAAAGGTAGTGCTAAGGATTTTTAGATTGGGAAGCTTAATAAGTAGTTATTTTCAATAACAGTTGAAAATATTGGAGGAGATCAGGCTTGGAGGGAAGAGGAAAGAATGAGGGAGAGGAGAGGAGAATTTGGGTTTGGTCTATGTAGTAATATTTGAAAAAGATTTATTTTATTTATTTGAAAGGCAGAGTGACAGGGAGAGGGAAAGATATCAGTCTTCCATCTATGGGTTCACTCCTCAAATGGTTGCAATGGTCAGGACTGGGCCAGGCTGAAGTCTGGAGCCTGGAACTCCATCTGGGTCTCCCACATGGGTGGCAGGGTCCCATGCACTTGGGCCATCATCTGCTGCCTTTCCAGGCACATTAGCAGGAGCTGGATTGGAAGAGGAGCAGCTGAGACCAGAACTGATGCTCTGATATGGGATGCTGATGTTGCAGGTGGTGGCTTAACAATAGCAGTCCCTGGTGTTTGTAGTCTCTAATGTGCTCATGGGTGAGACCTACAAATGGAGAAACCTCTGGTAGTTGTAAATAGAGAGTTCAAAAGTGAATTTAGAGCTTCCAGAATAGATATGAAAGCTTTTTCTTCCAAAACTACTGTGACTATACTGACAAGGGGAGATTAAATCAGAGGATGGAAATTTGGATTCACTAACAACTTGAGGTTTTTACAAGCTCTTCATTTTTTGTGAGTTTTGTATCATGAATTTGTTCTTAAAATTTACTTTATGAATAGGTAACATGTGTATGTGTTCAGAGCTCCAAGGGGACCAGGAGATGTGCTGTGAACTGTGAGTTCCCTTCCTTCCTCTGTCCCTTTGACATCCAATTCATTCTCTCCCAAGGCCACCACTATCACTATTTTTCATTGCATCCCTCCAGAAATAGGTTATGCACACACAATTCTCTGCAAAGTCCTCTTTAATGCTTGTATATTTTGCAAAGCCCTCCTTGCCTTCTCAACCATATAGTTTGAGTCTATGGGACACGGTGCTGGGAATGCTGTTTCTGGCCCAAGCACTTTCACAGGCATTGTCTCTGTAATGAAATCCCATTTCTTCAATTGAAAACCAACAAGAGAGCAGCTTCTCAATTTGTGAAGTTCAACTTGGCTACTGTGTTTGGTGCTTGTACTTGGCTTCTGAATAACTGCTTTCAATTGCTTAACAGTGGTGGTGGAGGCAGCATTAATGAGACAAAGCTGAGCCCTGAAGACCCAGGGAATGAAATGGAATGAAAGCAGCAAAAAGAGACATTATCTGAAAAATGAGTTTTATTTTCCTTTTCAGTCTGGGACAAATGTATTTTGCTATCACAGCTTTTGACACACAATGAGTGTTAAATATGTCTTTAGCATTTTACATTTTATATCTTAAAGACTGGATTCTCTAACCTGGCCAGAGAGTTGGACTTGAATTATAAAGTGATGTTACATTGGATTGCTTCCTGGTGGAAAGTTTTCTGGTCTGGAAGACAGTAGACAAACTTCTGATTGATTGGTGCCTCCTGGTTTTCCAGGATGGAGTTGATTTTCCATCTTTTTATGCCTGAATTGAAAGGTCACTGTTCTAAGAAGAAGGGAGATACTATTGGTCTTTCTCCCTTGGAGCAGTGCATTGAGGGGGTGATTCCGTACTTCAGTGTTGTCTAGCTGCATTGCTCAGCTGTGATCCCAAGAAACTGATCAAGTATTAAGATTTTCAAATCATCCTATTTTATTTTTTTTTATTTTTTTTTGTTTCTTTTTTTTTTAATCTTTTATTTAATGAATATAAATTTCCAAAGTACGACTCATGTGTTACAATGGCTTCCCCCCCCATACCGTCCCTCCCACCCACAACCCTCCCCTTTCCCACTCCCTCTCCCCTTCCATTCACATCAAGATTCATTTTCGATTATCTTAATATACAGAAGATCAGCTTAGTATACCTTAAGTAAGTATTTCAACAGTTTGCTCCCACACAGAAACATAAAGTGAAAAATAATAGATGATTTTTTTAAATGATGATGAAATCAGATCAGACCTATTGTCATGGTTAATCCCAGTGAGAGTCAAGTGGGAATGATA